ATAGAAGGAAGGCTGTCGAACAGACCGATCGCTACCAGATATGTATTTTGATCTGCAAAACATTAGAATCTTGTTTTTTGTTGTTTTTTATGGGCTTTATCTGAAGGAGCTTGCAGGTTATTGAGTTGAGTTCTCCTCAAAGTTGAAAAATGTCACTTGGTCTTGAAATGGAACAAATATTGAACGTGATTTTAAGCAGAAAATGTCTTTGAAGGTTATGACATGCCATCCTGCCAGCACAACAATGTCTATAGATATTTCAGTTTTCAGTGTCAAGTACAATATTTTGCTCATGCTGATAAATAGTTTGTTCTAAAACAAAACTTTAAAACATCTAATGTCTGATGCTCTGATCCTTTTCTGACCCTAACTCTTCCTGCATCTCTTCACCGGAACCACTAGAGGCAACTGGTGGGCAGCATCCCCCACTCTGCAAAGACGACTCCATCATCTGAATAATCATAAATACTTTGTATTGATTTGACCTCCATGTTTGATCATTCCACAGAACCTTCTTGGCCTGACCTCTGACCTTCACTGGGTCACCTCAGGATTGTGTGTTGTGGTGTGTTTTAGAACCAATGCAGGAACATTGGTTCATGTTGCAGCCTCTCTCTGAACATTTGAGCTGCTGCCATTGGGCAACTGATACCTAAACATCAACAGAGCCACCAGACTGTTGCTCATGCAACTCTATGTGTATGAGCAACATAGAGTTGCTCTTGTTTTGTCCTCATCTGTTTTTGTTATGAAATGATTTTTACACTGTTATAGATCAGAGAGATGTGCTGTTGACAAATATTGTTGTACAATAAATGCATAATATGTAATAAAAAACCCCACTGTGCAGGGCTGCACAGTGGGGCATTGTGTAGCACTGTTGCCTTGCAGCAAGAAGGTCCTGGGTTCGATTCCCGGCCCGGGGTCTTTCTGCACGGAGTCTGCATGTTCTCCATGTGGGTGTGTGGGTTCTCTCCGGGTTCTCTCCGGCTTCTCCGGCTTCCTCCCACAGTCCAAAAACATGACTGTCAGGTTAATTGGTCTCTCTCAATTCTCCCTAGGTGTGTGTGTGAGTGTGTGTGTGCTTGGTTGTTTGTCCTGTTTGTCTTTGTGTTGCCCTGCGACAGACTGGTGACCTGTACAGGTGACCCCGCCTCTCGCCTGGAAAGTAGCTGGAGAGGCACCAGCACCTCCGACCCCGTTAGGGAGAAGGATGCTCAGAAAATGGATGGATGGATGTAATAAAAGTTAAATGTTCTCATTTATAAATCAGCTGCAGAAGCATATGTCAGGAAGTTTGTGTCAAATTTCACATTTGTCTTACTTGATGGTAATAATGTTTTAATACAGGAAAATATCTTCAGTTCTGTTAAGTTCATACACACTTTGAAAAGTGTTTATACCATCACAGATTTCGCCTTTGCTCTTTTCCTCCAACATTTTTTTTTAGATCATCAGGCAAATTTTATTTATGAAACAATAATTACATATAAAAGTTTCCAAATCATTATTTTATTTTCTAAGGTAAAAAACAATCAAAAATCCAACCCGATCTATATCCTCACCAAAGTTTTCAATTTCAATTTCTTTTGCTACATCCAGACTTTATTACTGACAGAACTGTAGAATCCAGAACTCTTAATCAGAGTGTATGTGGCTCCATGAAATAGGCAAGAATATTTTATAAAGCAGCAAATCATGTCCTGATCTAAAGAAATGCAAGAGACAATGAACAACAAAGGCAAGGTATGTATCAATGTATCAATCTGAAAATGGTTACAAAGCCATTTTCTGGGTTTTATGAATCTATTGAACCATTACTGGAGAAAGTGTTGAACTGTGGCCTACTCCAAACCCGGCCTATACCACTGCAATAAAAAAAGATTCCATTTTTTACGAATGGAATCTTCATAAAAAAGAAGATTCCACTGTAGAGTTGCAACTATCAAATATTTTATTTGTGTTCAGTTTGACATCAAGACAACCCCAGTTTGGATAGCTTTGTTTTTTAAAATGAATAAATCATAATTTATTGTTTGTTTTCTAAGGTTATCAAAGACTGATTAAAATTATAATGATCCGAAACATTTAAATGTAACAAAAATGAGCTAATGTGTTTACAACACTATGTTTCAGTCTTATGGTAACCTTAAAATGAAAAACCTAATCATTTGTGCTGCACACAAATATTTTATGTGAACACAACTGGCTGGGAGAATTCCTGATGAAAAGTTACCGAAAAGATTTATATGGAAAAAGCAGGGAAATTGAAGACTGTCCCAGGTCTGTTTGCTGTTTCAGATTCCCAGGTAGATTTCTCAGAGAAATTTAAAGATATTCAAAAACAAAAATACATACCAGACAAAGCCATTTTATTGTAAAGAAACATAAATTAATAAAAACAAAATTCCAGAAGATATGACCTTAATCACAGTCTCTCACGTTGCATTTTAACATTTTAATTATGGCAGGAGAATGTTGTTGCGTGAACATCTGTGGAACTCCTTCATTGGGGAACTTGGTTAAGTTTAACTAAAGCAACTGTTTAGTTGCAGCAGAAACAGGAGTGATGAAGGAGGAGATCTTACGCTCCCTGCAGGCATGTCCTCTGACATGGACGCTTTATGTGACGGGAGGAAACGGTGGCGCTGACCCACAGCCATGAGACTGAGCCCTGCCACACCGTCAGCAACACTGTTAGTCAGTCAGCCTTACGGCGCTTCTCCTCTCCATCCAGACATTCGTTTGTGTACACACAGGTTATCAGTCATTTGGCTCCTGCAGTTTATTTGGAGAGCCACAGTCTAATGCTATCAGTTAGTCTGGGCATCACATAAAGCTGTTGCAACATTTTAATTACGTCACTTCATTCGAGTGGAGGTATTGTTGTTCACTTATGTTCCAGCTTGTTAGAGCAATCTGAGACTTTAACGAACTCCCAACACTTTCATTCAAAGTCCCAGTTTTAATAGTTACCTGAAGACGGTTTATAACTTACTTCAACTGTGAAAGGAGGCTCAGGAAGTGCATATATTACAGAGGGAAAAAAAAGTATTCCATACACCACCAATTTTTTTCAAAATTTCCCACTGACAAAGAATAGACAGGTCTGTGATGGGTAACACACACACGCAAACAAAATCCAGAGAAACATGGTATGATTCTTAAATAATTCACCTGCATTTTAATACAGGAAAGAAGCATTTTATACAGAAATAACTCTGGCTCTCACACACCCATCATTTCTGAACAAGTTCCACTGTCCTGCACTCACTATGTGAATTAACTACACCTTTTACAACTCAGTTCATGTATAAGACGCCAGTCCACAAACTCAGTCGGACTCCAACTTTTCCATCATTGGTGAGACCAAAGAACGGTCAAAAACACGTCTAACCTTTTGACCTTCTTCAAGGAACACCACCAGGGAACTGAGGTGTCCCTCAAAAATGTGCTAGCCAGTGAAAGCAAGCTCTCAGAGGCCCCACCCCTGGGGCTGTTTGACAAAAAGTCCTGGGAAGAAGCAAAAGTTAGGTGGCAGAAAAAGCGAAACATACACAGTAAATAAGTTTCACAATAAAAGTCTTAGTTTTCCACAGTAAAAGTCTGATTTGTCCAAAATTAATCTCCATATAAACACACACACACACACACACGCACACACACACACACACACACACACACGGACACAATTCACAAGGGGCTTTAATGAACAGCTAATCAGCTGCGTCTGGCACTGAGGCCTTCATTCACCATTATGATCTGTATATTTTTTGACATTTTTTTGTTTGCAAATAAAAAATTTTACTTAAGAAATACTTTCTTTGTCTGCTTGATTTGAGTTTTTTGTCTGTGTTCTGTTATTCGTCAGATTCTACATTGTGCTTTTGAATTGTGAGTATTAGGAAACTTGCATTGTAAAGTTCTGCATTAAGTTCTTGTTTTGCCAAGCATTGAAGATGTTTGCTGTGTCACCATTTCCTTCTGGAAATCAAACAGCATGACTGAAACCTCATTACTAACGACATTCATGTCCAGGATGAGTCAATATAACTCAGACCAACACTCCTGGCTCCACTGAATATTTCTGAAAAAAATCCTGATGGAGACTTTTGAAGGCCGGGTCGCTCAGTTAGAAATGAACCTAAGATGTTCTGCTAACATCATCTTCATAACGAATCATGTTTCTGTGAAAAATGGTGAGCAGGAATGTTTTCTTGAAAGAAAAAAAAGAGATTGAAGATTTTGTTGATGACCTAATCTTTATCCGTCATAAGACATGATCAGAAAAAAGCGTCCATTTGAAGCCACAGATAACTTGGAAAGCAGATCATTTTCCATCATCCTCCTCCCACTGCAGGGAGTTTTACTGGTTGAGCTATCGTGGAGGTTACTGTCTATAGGCTGATCATTTTCTGAGGGGAGACAATTCTCAGTTAAGGCTCACTGGTGGGTGATGTCTATGAATTATACCTTCCATAAAACTGTAATAGGAAGGACAATCAGCAGCTTGTATCTGTGCAGCCTTCCAGAGTATTTACCTTTTTATGTGGGTGTAAATCTGGCATGATGTGCCAAGGGCAAGCCTCTTCCTAGATATCCTGCCTTTTTATACTGGCGGCTCAAATTGCAATTTATAATGAAAACACCCATCAGAAACACAAAGACCTGGGTCAGTCAGTGCAGTCTTTGTCAGTCTGCGCTTAAGGGTCTTTAAAGCCGTCAGAATTAGAGCTAATCAGGTCCAGCCTACATCTCTGCACATACATGCTCCAGACATGTAGCTGTTCCTACATTCAGCAGTGTTGGAACCCAAAACAGATGCAAATGGTCAATGCCTTTTCTTCACCAGTCCAGGTCCAGGCCTGAAGGCGGGGGCCTGAAGGTGAGGGCCTGAAGGTGAGGGCCTGAAGGTGGGGGCCTGAAGGTGAGGGCCTGTGGGGGCCTGAAGGTGAGGGCCTGTGGGGGCCTGAAGGTGGGGGCCTGTGGGGGCCTGAAGGTTAGGGCCTGTGGGGGCCTGAAGGCGGGGGCCTGAAGGTTAGGGCCTGTGGGGGCCTGAAGGTGGGGGCCTGAAGGCGAGGGCCTGAAGGTGAGGGCCTGTGGGGGCCTGAAGGTGGGGGCCTGTGGGGGCCTGAAGGCGGGGGCCTGAAGGTGGGGGCCTGAAGGCGAGGGCCTGAAGGCGAGGGCCTGTGGGGGCCTGAAGGTGGGGGCCTGAAGGTGAGGGCCTGAACGCGAGGGCCTGAAGGCGGGGGCCTGAAGGCGGGGGCCTGAAGGTGAGGGCCTGAAGGTGAGGGCCTGAAGGTGGGCCTGAAGGTGAGGGCCTGAAGGTGGGGGCCTGAAGGCGGGGGCCTGAAGGTGGGGGCCTGAAGGTGAGGGCCTGAAGGCGGGGGCCTGAAGGTGGGGGCCTGAAGGTGAGGGCCTGAAGGTGGGGGCCTGAAGGTGAGGGCCTGAAGGTGGGGGCCTGAAGGCGGGGGCTTGTGGGGGCCTGAAGGTGGGGGCCTGAAGGTGGGGGCCTGAAGGTGGGGGCCTGAAGGTGGGGGCCTGTGGGGGCCTGAAGGTGAGGGCCTGAAGGTGGGGGCCTGTGGGGGCCCATGGGGGCCGGAGGGGGTCAGAGCTGTGGCTGGTCGTAGTAGCAGAGCCATATGAAGGATACAGACTTCCTGTGATTTCCTGTGTTTTTCCAATTTTTCCAGTTCAATAAAGCATTAGAAAAGTTTCTTGTTCATGATGGTACCTGGAAGAGCTCTGCCAGGTTTTGGTGCTGGAAGAAAAAGTGCAGAGGGACCGCTGCATGGAACTGTGTCGGGTTTCGAGACTCTTTGTTGATTAGTTAAATCAGCAAAAATAATAAAATACCCGATCATTTTGAAACCATATTGGTCAATTGTTGACAGATTGATCCGTATAAATATTATGGATTCTGTGTAGGTTGAGTATCTATAAAGTGAGTCAACATCATCTTTTTAGTTTAGCTTTGCTGTTTTTGAAGCACCAACTAACTCAGTGCTTCTCAATTATTTTCCGTTACGCCCCCCTAGCAAGAAGAAAACTATTCGCGCCCCCCATCCCCACCGTGACTATCATCTCTGCATAACATTTTATTAATTTCTTTCGCTGAAAAACTCTAGCGGCTTATCGGCGTGATTGGGATGTAACGTATTTAAGTGACGCGCTAATTTATTTGGCTTCATGTCCGCTGCGAGCATTTTTAGACACAGCACACACCGGTCTTTCCTCTTCTCCAACTGTAGTCACAGTGAAGCCAAGCGCTAAATACGCTTCGTCGTATTTCTCTTCTTAGCTTTCGGTTGACTTTCTGTTGTCTCATTATCTTTGTCTCTCTCCGCTTTTCTTTTCATCCCTGTGAAAAACTTTTTCATGTTGGGGGTTGTTGAATAACGGAGGCCAGAGACAGAACGCAGTCGGAGCTTTTTGTTGACTTAACACTGCTAACCAAGGCAAACCTGTTGTCTTGTAAGTCGTAAAATGTTGCACTGTCGCAAACGTGACAGAAGTAACAATGAGAGCGCCACTGCCGCCTACTGTGCGCAATTACACTTTATACTAGTTCGGCCAAAAAAAGCCTGTTCCCCAGGATCTCACGCGCCCCCCCAGGTATCGCACCGCGCCCCCCAAAGGGGGCCCGCCCCACTATTTGAGAAGCACTGAACTAACTGAACTTACTTTCCCTTTACCAAGTTTTGTCTTCATGTTGTAACATTTTCGATTCAAAACCCTTTTTGCTTCCAACTTATTGAACAAATCAATAAAGAATTGGTAGCTCAACACCAATATTTGTAGTTCTTAATGTACTATTAAGAACTACTACTATTAATGTACTACTGATCATTCAGTTTCAGTAACTCCTGTAATTCATGAACATCTCGAGAAATGTGGCCTGTAGAGACGACAACAGCTGGAGGCTTTGCATTGAGATGCTGTTTTAGGCTGGAATATCTTTTCTGATAAACTAATTCATTTTAGCACAAGTGAAAGTCAGCAATAGTCTTTTCAAGCAACCAATCAGGTTGGTTTTTGGAGGCAAAAATGAATCCCCATTGGCCCAAGAGGAGCATCATCATCATTACCATCATCACTGCTGTGCTTCAGAGATGCAGGCCTACCACAAACACACGAATACAAAGGTTCTGGACTTTTGTATGTAAAGAAAATAAAGTGATTCATTTTATGAAGCTTTTTACATCCGTTTTTTTTCTTACTTAACAAATGTTCTTCAACTCAAGTTTTCATGGTGAGATTATGCTGCTACAATAAATCTCATCTTTATTTCCTTCTTTACCAGCCGGAGTCTCTGGAACATCATGATAAGATATGAAGATTTTAAAACTCTGAGATCATGGAACAGAGGCTTGTTAGTCCCTCCTTCATGGAACAGTGTTAAGAGCTGAAAGCTGTTCTTAGTTTTGGTGGAGTGTGTTCAGTGTGTGCAGCTGATGAGCTGCTTGGCGTTTGCACAGCGACTGTTTTAACAGCAGCAGCTGTCAGACGGTTGATGTTTGGGAACAGAAATCATTTCAGAGGCTAACAGCCTTTCAAATGTGGAAATGACATTCAGGTTTTTCTTCTTTCTCCTTTGACCCAATATTAAACACAACATCAACATTGCAGTTTTACATTCTGATGAGGCTGACACGCTCACCGCTTTGTTCAGAGCTGGCTGGGCTGTTACCATTAACTGCTACTTGAAAATGCTTGTGAGGAGCAGAACATTTTCAGTTCTGCAGATAAAGCGGCTCATATAAAGCACGCAGACGAATCTATAATAATCTTGCAGAGCCAGAGCCCATATCTTCAGCTCGGCACATATTTAAAGGTCACTGGTGGTTTTACAAGTGGAGGTAATAGTGTTCCTACATTTCCATGAATTGGCTGATCTGTCACTGAGGGCTTGTTTATGACTGGTTTGTTCCTCTCTGTGCTTCTTTCTTGCCACGCTGCTCATTTCAGCTGCCATAAAATACACAATTGCCCCGATTCATCACTGAATTAGTGGGATGCTGACAGTGCCCTCCAAGCCGCTGCCTGAACACTGATCCAGGTGCAGCCATGAGCGATTATTGCAGCATGTGAGCAGCAGACGGCCTCCTGCAGTCCATTAGAGCTGAAGACTGGCGTGAACCTCCTGATGGGACGGTGAGACGCTCCCATCGGTTTACATGTTATTAACCAGCAGAACGTACGTCACAGAAGTTGCTATGGTTATTGTCACATTGAAATGATTTCATTAGTGGAAAATAACATTTCATTTCTTGAATTTTTGCTTAATGCAGAGTTGAGGGAATGAAAACTTTTAATACTAGCAGATTTGACTTTACTTGTGCAACTTGATCAAACCACATAAAGCAATTTAGTTCAACTTTGAATATTCTAGCTACGACTTGACAGAAACGTGTTAGCACCATGAACAGCATCATGACCAACCAATAGTTGAAGACATGAAGAAGCGTTGAAATGTGAAGGCTGGGTTTTCAGGGTCGAAAGCAGAACTGATGTTTGTGTCATCAGTTATTTCAGCAGCGTGGCTTAAAACATGCCAGGTTAGCCGACTTGTGAGCATTTCAGAGCGTTTATACGGTGAAACTGGATTAGAATCACTTCAAAGTCGGAAAGTTTATCATATTCACAAACATTGAATAAAACCCCAGAGAAGTATTCAGTTTCTACTGGATAAAGCACCAAGACACTTTAAACACTCTAAACATAAATCATAATAATAATGTAGAATCTATTACACGTAGAGTTAACAGGAACTGTGAGCGGTAGACACGTTTAAAGTGAGCTGACTAAATGATATTTTAGAAATAAATTCAACTGATTTGAAAGTCTTGGCACTCTCCCTCCTCAAAACTCCACCCAAATGTTGCTGGTTAATGAAAACGTCCCAGTCAAAGCCTGTATTCTGAGGTTGAGTCCGTCCATGTGGACTTGCTGTCACCACAGCTTGTCTGTCTTTGCTTTGAGAATCTGTCAGCTTTGGAAAGAGTTTCTGCTCCATCAGATTCACTATGAAATGATATCTTATTGCTGACAGTAATGAAAATCAAACATTGCTTTTAAATTCTGGTTCAATAGAATCTTTTCTTTTGTAACTAATAAAAGAGGCCTGCATGGGTAAAAATGATAATATGAAAGATAGAAACTAATTTGAGCACAGGAACATGTTAAACTAACCTCTAATTAATCTTTAAGCTGCTGATCAGTCAGTCGGTTTTGGTGACATGGTGTCACCAAAACATGTCTGTTTAAAGTGTCCTGTGGTCCATGACCTTCCTGTGGACATGGACCACAGGAAGTGAAGGACAAAGTCGTCCCAGATAGTTAATGGAAAGACTTAGAGCGTCTCCAGGAGGCGTGATCCGCTTCTGACTGACAGCAAAACTTTGGACTGTTCTCTACCGTCTATTTTATACGTTGATTTTTTTATGAATCTGATGAACTACAATTCATTGTTCATTTTCAGTAAGTTTTCAATTATTATTGTCAGTTTATTTCAGTGAGCTCAGAGAGTTTTCATTCGTGAACAGACGTTTTGTTCAAAGTGAATTACTCCATCATGAACATTTTCTTGTTGACGGTGTGGTGAGTTGTCTGAAGGTTTTAAGCAGGGATTTATTGAAGTTGCATCTTTTATGACTCAATATTTACAATTTGAAGTACATTCATGTTTACAAACTGCACAGAAATATCTATTTCTGTTTTTACAAGTCAGGTTTTTTCATTGTGAATTTTCTGAAATTTATACTTTAAATATTTTCGCTTTGGAAACCAACATTTACTCCAAATGTTCAACTAGGCCTGCAGGATAGAGAAACCACTAACATCTTTCATTCTAACTTTTTCCATGCAGAACTAAACCCTGAGCCTTGAGAACAGAATGAAACTTCACCAACAATACAGACTCTGTGTTCTCTATGCTTCCAGAAATAGAGCTGAACGTTCGTTCAAGCAAATTCGGAATCAAAAATATCACTCTAAATTTTTAGGATTTTGTTTTCATGCTTTCCACATTTGTAATTCGTTTAACATAGTTTTTTCATACATTTTTTTATTTTGCTCTCCACTTACTCCCCAGAAACCTTTTAAAAGCTGAATGCTTCACTGCTCTCAGCTTAAGTGCTGCAGTTTAAGTATTCAATGTCTTTCGGTTTCATTTGTGCCAGTTTTTGTTAAAAATAGATTTTCCAAATTGTAAAGGTAAAATGTATAAATAATTCAGCATAATTCAGCATAAGTAGTGGATGTTAGTGAACTGGAAGGAGCATTATGTTGTTCTCTTTTGCCACCAAATCTTATTTCTATTTAAACCTGATTTAAATAGAAAAAAGATTTAGTCCATTTAGTGAATACCAAATGGAAAACTGGAAAATCAGGTTAAATGCAGCTGCATTTAATCCATCGTCTGAACGCTGACAGAAACCTCAGCCTGCAGCTGGAGGAGGATCTACAAAGCCAGTCGGCAGCAGTGACTGCAACGTTCATGAAGTATTTTATCTGAAAATCATTTGTTGCTTAATTATCTAAAATCCTAAAAAAATACACTGAGGTTTGTCATTTTAATATGACAAAATAGGAACAAATACATTAAATTCAGTAATTCTATGTTTTGATTTTAGACACAGAAGATAGCGCTGACATCTCCAGTTTTACCCTATGAACACACACACACACACACACACACACACACACACACACACACACACACACACACACACACACACACACACACACACACACTGTCTCATCTCTGTGCTACTGAAACAAGAATGTTTTTGGAATAAGAATTTGTTAAAGTCCTAACAAAATGGTAATAAAGTGAGATTTGTCCAATAAAATCTGCATTCTTTAACAGTAAGATGATATCCTCTCCTCCATATTTACCAATAACCAAAGTGCAGTTCATTTTGTTTGCGGCGCGTCTCTCTGAGCTGTCACTGGGGAAAAACAGCCACTTAAGCAGAACGCAGTGCCGAGGACAGATACCGACGCTCAGCCTGCTGCCGCTGTATAATATTGTGAGAGGTCGTTCTTCTTTGCCCAGCGTTTTTAGTACAGTTCTATCTCTCACCCCCAGCTCTGCAGAAGGCAGATAGCACCAAGGTGTGATGTAATTTTCCAGCGTTTTCTCATCTTTATCTCCTCGGCTGCTTTGGCTCTGTATGCGCAGAGCATGTCCGACACACCTCACAGTGTAATCTCACATTGTGTGGCGGCTTCATTTAAATAGGGCCATTTTTATGCTTTTGCTCAAGCATGCCCCTCAAAAGAGGAAGTCAGGGCTGTAACCTAGCAGGGCCCTCACACACACACACACACACACACACACACACACACACACACACACACACACACACACACACACACACACTCCACAGTTCCAGTGGGGATAATGCTGTCAATCTGTTCACACACACAAACACACACAGCTTTGTACTGGAGAGAAAGGGAAATAGATGCTGAAAATTGTCAGTGAATATACAGGATTAGTTAGTTTGTTTTTATTCGCTTCTTATATCTACTTTCTCTGGCACCAACACATGATGAGCTCGCTCCAAGTCAACCCTCTGCATCTGTGTTCACTCTGAAGAGTGTTTTTAGTGTGAATGTCGGGAAAATAAGTATTTGAAACACAACTAGTTTACTAGTCATTAAGTAAAATACTATCAGAGAAATCAGTTCATCCACTAAACTGTTCTATAAATTAATGTTCTGTATGATTTCAACATTTATGGTCAAAGTTGGGGTTGCACAGGGGCGCACTGTTGCCTTGCAGCAAGAAGGTCCTGGGTTCAATTCCTGGCCCAGGGTCTTTCTGCACGGAGTCTGCATGTTCTCCCTGTGCATGCATGGATGATAGATGGATGGATGGATGGATGGATGGATGGATGGATGGATGGATGGATGGATGGATGGATGGATGGATGGATGGATGGATGGATGGATGGATGGATGGATGGATGGATGGATGGATGAATGGATGGATGGATGGATGAATGATGGATGGATGGATGGATGGATGATAAAAGGATGAATGAATGGATGGATGGATGATGGATGGATGGATGGATGATGGATGGATGGATGGATGGATGGATGGATGGATGGATGATGGATGGATGGATGGATGGATGGATGGATGGATGGATGGATGGATGGATGGATGGATGGATGGATGGATGGATGGATGGATGGATGATGGATGGATGGATGGATGGATGGATGGATGGATGGATGGATGGATGGTCAAAATTCCTGAATGCACACAAAGATTGTTCAAATACATGGAAGGGTGCAGTGCTGTGTCTCGCCTGTGGTGGCGCTATGTCACACTCACTGTGCTTCCCTCAAGGATTTTTATGTGCATAAAGCGCTCATTAAAAAAGTTTGATGGAAACTGCAAGATTTGAAACAACTTCCTCAGGAACGGAGGAGAGTTCTTCCTCCTCTTCTCTGTGTTCAGCCTTTCTGTGCAATTCCAAACAATTCACAGTCTGGGCTTCCAATCACTGACTGACTTTCCTCCAGTGGAGTTTTTACCTGTAACGTTTTAGAATTGCAGTCTTCCTGTTGTTTCAGCAAAGGCAACCGAGAAAGAGAACAAAACTGTTCAGTCCATGTTGACCACACTTCCAGATGTTAAAGCAACATTAACATCATTCCACTCAGCACGTCTCTTTTCACAGTGCAGGATTTTTTTTACAGTGCAGACAGTTTCTGACAACCTTCTTAGCATCATACTGATGCATTACAGGCAAACGTTAACGACTGGGTAAAAACTTCAACAGACTCAATGCAACCTCCAGCAACCAATCATATGGATTCTGTCTTTTCCTCTATCTTTTTTATCTTTTATCTGTTTACATGCACACACTGCAGCTTACATAACCATGTTTATGTGTGACTGTCAGCAGTCATGCATAAGAAGACTGAAACTGATGAGTCTTTTTAGGGAGGGTGCAGATTGCAGAGAAGAATAAAAAGCTGAATTTAAGTTCAGTGACCCAGTGCTGGACAGTGAATGTAACTCTGTATCTCTCCCATAATGTGACATTTATGGCTTGTAAAATTTGATCATTTTTCAGCATTATAGCCTGTTTTTATGTATATATTACACATATTTTTATATATAACCAAATCTCATTATTTTTCAAGGTAATTTTCACTGAAGGGTTCTGGTCGGGTTCTGAAACTGATGGATAGACCTGGTGGAGCACAGAGACAAAATGAACAGCACAAACCTTTTTCATTAGCTGAGAGTCACCATGTTCTGGATAAGGACCTGGTCTTTACCAGGCTAGCTCCATGCTAACAGCCATGTTTAGGTTGTGCTTCGTCTGGCTAATTTTCTCCAACAGCCTAATACTCATTTTCTATTGTTTTTTTTTTTTCAACTTTGCCAAGATTTCACTCAAAATGTGCATGAAAACTTGGCTGGATGGGAACAAATTACGACTGAACCAGTTGGAAGTTGGTGCAGAAAAAAGCCATATTTTCTATATTCAAGTTGATTTCCATCCATTCCAGCAGCATATGTCTAGATTTTCCTGAATTATTACATCTTAAAATTATTGGCTTAGGATGATTATGAAATGCTTGAAGGAATCCAGTCTGTTGTCACAGCTGACAAAAACAACCTTTTTACAAACTTTAATAAAAATAAACTGATTCCTGTAGAAATTCAGATTTTTATTTGAAAGCAAATATTTATTCTTGTGCACTTAAATGAAAGTGATGACAGGCTCCTGCGCCACAGACTGAAACCCTTTAATATTATAGTTTCTCCTAATCCCTCAACATTGTGAGTGATTAGCTATTAGTGGGAACCATTTTAAACCAGAACAGCAGCAGCTGAGCATTAGAATGTGCTGGAGCTCCGTCAGCTGGCGCGGGGCCCTCGCTCGCTGGGGGGGGGGCCCTCGCTCGCTGGGGGGGGCCTCCGCTGGACGGCCTCCGCTGGACGGCCTCTGCTGGACGGCTCCACGCCACACGCTCACCCTGCGTCTGAACCACTAATGATAAGGATTCATTACCATAAGTTTATTTTCTCCTGTCGAACTGGTTGCTGAAACAAAAGGGCAGATGATTATTTTTCCTTGATCAATGTAGCATTCAGGGGCCCGGTCCGAGAACGGGGAGGGGACGGGACAATGAAATCCCTCGCAGCGCAAAGGAGGAAGCTGACATGCATACAAGGCAGGGAGGACGGCTGGATTCCCGAGGTGGGATCAGCCTGTCCAGCCTTCACAATGGACCCACAAGATGAGATGGACACACAAAGGACCGGAATGTGACAGTCTGTCCAGCCGGCCAGCCAGCCACCGTCTCTAGAGACGGTGGCTGGCTGCTGCCTCCTCCACCTTCACAAAAGCCTCCTTCAGCATTGTACTGAACGTTTGACAGATTTGACATATTAGACTCAGTTCAAAGAACCAAACACTCACTGGGAATAAAGCCATTTAAATAAAAAAGGAGAGAAACTTCAAGACCTTGGGTCTTCCTGGCTTTTCTACAAGCTTCGTCCAACACATAAAACATCTTGTAAACGTCTACTTCTCACATTTTAGGGCTGACCAAAACATGTTTAAAAGTGTTTTTCTTTCATTCTTACCGTGATACAATAGTTCATCCCCTGTCTCTTCACAGTCATCGACTATTGCTGCAGTAGATGAAGCTCAACAATGAGGCGCTGCGCTCTTTGTCTCAGCAGCTAAAGGGAAGAATTCGTTATGCAAGTCTTCCTAAAGAAAACAAGGCAAATAAGTGAACTGCGAGCTGTTAGGAGGAAGGGAAGCAAAGGAAGGAATAAAACATAAATAGTTGTTGGCTTGACTTCCTGTTTTAGTCCTCTGTGATCCAGGCTTCTCCACCCTGATTCTTGTTCTGGCCAGTTAAGAGCAAGTTCTTCCTCTCCCTGTTTTCTTGTGATTGTTCAATCACTGAAGCATTTTGTTCAAATGAAAGACCTTCTTCTAACCAGATCTTTGACGAAGCAAACTTGAGCTTCCAGAGTCAGCGGAAGGTTTAGAACATGTTGCTTTCTCCTTTTGGAGTGGATTCCTGTTTCCTTCTCCTTCATTTTCCTTCATTAATCTCATTTCCCTCAGCCACAACCCATCTGTTGTCACACACCAGTAACCCCAATCCACACCAGTTTATGCACCGTGAGGCCTTTTCCTGTTTTCCCCTCACTTCCTGTGCTACTTTTTTATCTTAGGACTTCAATGGTTACCACCTGTGTGTTTGTGATTTTCCTTTCTGCTCCTCACTCCCTACACATGAAGGAGTGTGTAAGGAGTGTGTAAGGAGTGTGTGTATGTGTGCAATCAGTGTAAAAATAAGATAAAACTGATCTAAAGCTCATTTATAACCAAAGCTTTGGTTCAGGTTGAATTACAATAAAAGCTGCATTTATTTCTGTATCTTGAATTATTTCTATGCATGTGATCTCAAGGCAGATATGATCAGTTTTCACTCAGTTCAGTGATTGTACATTTATTCTGGTCCTTCATCAACCAGCTATTAATAATATAAAATCACATCATGACGCAGAATTTATGCAAATTCTAACCACATCAAGGTTAACTTTATGGTTTTACTATATTTTATTATCCTTGCACAACATTTCAGACAAACATTTTGTTTTGCTCAGCTATGTGATGTCAAATTTGAATAATGACCCAGGTCTCTCTTGAAACTGAGATCTGGACCTCATTGGTTTTTACCTGGTTAAATAAAAGATATTTTAAAAAAATAAAAGTCTTTGACACCTTCAGTCACCAGCTGTCAATTTCCTCTGATGCAAATTAATTTTAATGTTTGGCTTCTTGCATAATGCTTCTGTTTGCAGATCACACATTGAAAATAAGATGAAACTAAAAGTATCTGCAGATTATAAAATTAAAATGTCGAAATATTTTCCATGTAGCAATATTACATCATGCAGCAGATCCATTTCATAAAGATAAAACATTGAATAATTTCAGCACAATCCCAGCACATTCTGCAGACATATCCTAAATCAGTTACACATATTGTGATGTCATTGTAGTTGAACTACGGTGCAGTCGGTTCTGATGCTAACTGAATGACAGGAGGAAGGCAGCGGAGAGTCAAGACGTTCATTTAAAATGCTCAGTTCTGCATATAACCGGAGGAGACGAGACACTGAGTCACTGGATGTAACTGGATTTAACTCATCTTAGACATTTTTACAGAACACTGTGCTTTTTAACTGTTCTAGACTTTATAGAATCAACAACGCTGAGTGGTGTGTGTAAGAGCTTTAGTGATGAGCGTTGAACAGTGAGGATAGTCTGGTGCCACATCGTCACTCTGCAGGCTGAGCTGCAGACAAACACCTGGCAAAGCCTGATCACAGCACCAACATATTATTACAAGACATATGAAAATTCAAATGAATGAAATAAATAATGGCTAAATCGTGCAGATAATAAACATGAATTTGTTGTGGTAATAAAATGGTCCTCAACATGAATCCCTGCAGCTTCAGTTTATCTTGCTGCTGCCTCACACCAAGCTGGCCATGTTTTCAGTCAGATGGGAGGAAGTGATGGAGCCTAACCTCCGAGCGGCGCCTCGGTGTCAGCGGGACCAGAGAGCTCTGATTGGGGACAACTCTCACTAACAAGCTGCTAATTTCTACGCTTGATTGATCAGAGTGTGAATTCAGAGTGAAGGGCAAAGCAACCTGTGTGACAGTTCTCTGAACTGTGTGTCCTCACACAGCCACTTGTCACTCTCATGCATTTTAGCAATCAGCGCTCATCTGAGGTGTTCCATTATCTTTCTTCTTTGATGAATTAGGATTAGCACTTAGCTCTGAACCGTGTTTGAATGGAAGAGCAGCAGCATTGCTAAGAAGGCAGAGGATTACAAGAGGCTTTTTGTGCTGTAATTTCATTTAAAATAAAAGTCTTACCTTTGTTCTGTGTGCCCAGTTAGGGTGTGCTGGGAGGTTGAGATTAGCTCAGAGAATAGAGTTTGTCACAAAGCCGATTAGCTGTTGAAACAGGGCCAACAATGCTTTTCTTGTTAGAAAATCAGCATTTTTCCTGGCAAGCGGCAGACTGTTTTTCTTTCCTGCTCCAGTTTCGTGGCAAAATCTGAAAAGGGCAGCAAACCGACGTCTTGTTATGGTTTACCTCTAGAACATGCGGAGCAGACCGGTCAGATCAAGGGACAGGTCATGATGAGACACAAACAACCATGTTGTCCATTTCCACATCCTGCAGGATGGAGAGGACAGCTTCATCAGAAGGAGTTCTGCCTCTGGCTCAGTTCTCATGGTTGTCTACTGCCATCTGCTGGACACTTGTAGCACTCAGTTTCACAAGTGATGTCATCCAACGTGTTTTTTGCATTTTCCAATTTGCAGTGGAAGAAATAATTTAAACTAGATTGTAAAAGAGGTGGGGCCGGCAGTTAGTGTTTGGGTGGGAAGCTGAATTCGGCCTCGTGAAACTTGATGTCTACCAGAATCCCTCCGGCTTTTCATCCTCATGTGGAAGGGTTAGTTTCCATCAATTGTTTCTCATTTGCTGCACATCTTTTATAAACCAAATGTGATAACACAGCATCCTCAGGAGTTATCCTGACATATGACAGGCTGAGAGCAGCGGCTCCGACCTTTCCCAGTGAATACCACTGCAGTTTTCAAGGAGGTTTTCCAAATATCGCTATCCATTTTAAAACAGTATAAGAGCATGACATGGCTATTGTTGTCATATTATTAAAAAGGAAAACACTAGAACATCACAGTAACATTTAAGATTTATTCCAGATTGAATTAGATGTTGAAAAATGAACAAAAGTTCAGAACTTGTAAGTAATCAACCTACACAAAAAGTCAAATATGGCCACTCTCCTAATGAAACATATTGCAGTGCTACAATTATTGTTCTTCAAACATGAAAATCTACTCTGAGAACATTTCCATCTATGTTTCTCCACTTTAAATGTTTCAGCTGTTGATGCAGAACCAACCAAAGTCATGAAACAATCCCTTATTCTACAAGTTTTGACACCTGAGCCAACCTCTGCTGGAATTTGATTTGCTCATATTCATAATGTTATTCATAATAACAGGAGCTATTATGAGTAAAGCCTTAATAAAACACAAAGGGTACAAACAATAAGATTAAAACAAGTTGCTAGCTTTGACATGCCAACTTAACTTAGTGAAAAGGAAGGGAAATACACATCAGCTATGTGATGTCAAATTTGAATAATATTACTCCTCTTAGGTGTAATATTAGGTTATTATCATATTCTAATAACCTTGAGGTGTCAGCCACAGAGGTAGTGGGATGTTTGTGGATTTCTCTCCTGATTGCTGATGAAGGTGGATACTTCATGTGACAAAGAACGGGAATCTGCTATTCAAAGACCTGCTCCTGGCAAGGCAGGTCATAATACTCTTTACTCTCTGTGTGAATGCAGGGCTGCATGCATGTTCAGAAGGAACCAGAGCTGAATGTCCTGTGAGGAGATGATGACAGGAAGCTGATGCAGGGGAAACGTCTGAGAGCAACTTAAAGTCAAGGTGACAGACAGCAGGCCTTCACTAACACCAGGACATGCTGGACTTCCTCTTGAAATTGAATTAATTATCAGTGTTGTTAAAAGTCACAGTAAATATTAAGTGGCCTAACATTTATATTCCTGTAAACTGAATCTGGAGGAAGTGACTCCGTGGTTTTCATTGTTTTTATTGACTTTTGCTGCATTCGTATCACTTTGCTGTTTTATTGGCCGGCGGATCAAAGCCCTCAACACACACACACACACACACACACACAACAAAGTTGGGCAAAACAACCAAGATTTTATTGCCATTGTGCATGAACTTTGACACTGCAGGTTACACAAGGAAGTATCATGTAGTGAATTGAGGAATACCCTTGCCTGCCAGTGATGTGCTCTGGTCACTTGCAGCGCTGGTCTTGGAGGAGATGGCGTTAGCAACAAGCTACTTGCTGATCCAGCCTCCGAACTCAACACCAAAGCAATGCAACATGTCAAAGAACGGGCAACATCCTGGATGACAACACCGCTGTCTTTCTTAGTTCTTTCCTCAAATTATTGCACACACTTGCTTCCCCATGTCAAGCATACGTGGGATACTGGGAAAGCTAAAGCTCTTGGTAAGGTGCTGAAACCACAACATTGCATTGAGCCTCTTCAAAAGCCACATATATACAAAATAGAAATGGAACGTCAATGCAACAAGCATACCAGATAGTAAAATAAATGCAGGTTATGATTCACTCTTGTACAGAATAAATAAGATGCTGACAGGGTTTGGTTGCTTGGCGGTAACAGACGGACGGTGAGAGGGAGGCAGGCCAGCGGGTTCCTTTAATCTGATGAAGGCGCTGCGGCATCTGCAGCCAATCATCTCTCACATCTCTATGTTACGCTCTCACGGCGATGGAACTTCAGGAATTAATCATCTGTATTTGGGATGGTCAGATCTCAGGAATGTCACTCATGGATCAGGATTGTTCTGGAAATAGAATGAAGGCTGGAGGTATGCTCAGTACAAACATTTATTTATTATGCCTAGTTTTTCTTAGCGGTAAAAGAATGGTTTGGGATCAGTTCCAAGCAGTGACTCAGATCTTAACTGAACTATTTGCTTCAAAAGGATTTGAACACAGATCCTGACTGACTTGGTCTGAAAGCAGACAGAAATGAGCAGGCGGTCTGTGACTGCTGTCATATGATGCTGAAATTCCATGAAATGCTAAAAACAAAAATCTTCATGATTTGTATTGTTGTCTGAAACAATGACGAATGGATAAAAGAGAATAACAAATAAATCAAAATGATTTCTGCCAGGAAAATCAACCATTCCCACTGGGAGTAGCACAAACATGATCTGCTTTACTTTTTCCCTTTATTATGGTAAATAAAGGGAATTTTACATGGAATTAAAAGTTCCATGTAAATTTTATTTAATGTCTTTATTCACAGTGAAAGAAATGAACTAATCAGACTCTTCCTGGACAGTTTTTCATATTTTTTTTAATCTTAAGAGAAAAAAATGTGTTGCAGTTTTCTTATATATAAATACAGAGGAATGCAAGCTTCTCTCTGATATATACATCACAGCTCAGTTCCCTGAACTTTATCTGTTTCTAACTTTAAAATGCTCATCAAAGGTCTGGGCTGTAATAGGAGGGAAAGAAGATTGAAAATAGCAGGAGGTCTTATGTTTGATGGATTTAATGACAATTTTTTTGAATCTGATTTTTCTGCTTGACCTGCTGAGTAACTGAAACTTGTCTGATTCTGATCTCTGTCACACTCATGGCTGCTTGCCGGGTTAAGACACAGAGGCCATTTTGTGGAATCTTGATCGACTTGACAAAAAAGCTTTCCATACATACAAGTGGGAATTCCTCATTTATCCAACTTTAAGACATTCTCACCCACCTCAAAAGGTTATAAAGATCGAAATATTAAGCTATAAATCAGAATAAATGTTTGTATATTTACACATCCAGTCTGCATTCCTGCAGGACCAACTGTCTGGGTTTGATGTGACAGCCCACCGTCAGCAGGAGGTCCGCTCCGCTCAGACACAAAAACCATCCCTGCTGCATTTTCCAAATCCTGATGGAAACGCTTTCATCAGCACACACACCTCTGCACACAGTGTGTGTGGTCCCTACAGTGCTCCAACTGCGGACTGGGAACCAGTCTGGCCCCCCCAGAGCGGGTCCTGGGACCAGAGCGGGTCCTGGGACGTCCAGAGCGATCCGTGTGGGAATGGAGAGAATCTAGGAATGACATGACAGGAAATTGTTCTGCTTTGTGGAGCTGCAGATACTTTGTATGGACACACATTCCAATTTACCTGAGTATAAAATCTGATTGTGAAACACCTGAAACCACGACCAGATGCATGGTAACAGTTTTCTGTGGTCTAGGCTCTAATTGTGTTCTGTTGGAGTCAGGACTTCCTGTGAGCTGATAGTGCAAACAGAACCCTTAAGTGCAGCGGACTGATCCGCTTCGTTCCGTCACAGTAAACCAGTTCCAAGCTGTCCCTGTATTTCATAGAGCTATGTGTGTCTGGATATATCTGTGGGTACGATTACAGCTTATTCATACTGTGAATGTTGAAACAGAACACAACACATAATTTAATCAGAAATCTACTACCAGTTTAAAATGCATGCCCCTCCCCCCCTCCACGGTGCTGGGGTGTTCCCGGGGACGCCTGGTCGGGGCCCCTCCCCCGGCGGCTCCCCCTGCACACGGCTCCGAGCGTCTGTCTGGGTGGAAATGAAGGGACATTGTACGTCATGCAGTGATAGGAAGGGGGTGGAGGGGGTCAGCACAGAGAGACGAGGCCCTCTTGGTGGGACAGTCAGTGGTGGTGATGGAGGCCCCGCCCAGCTCTAGCTGTCTGTCTGGGTGTCTGTAGTCTCTGACGGGGACCCCGGCTCCTCCGGTGGGTCGTCTGTGCTGGTGCTGGTGGAAACCTGAGTGGAGGTCCCGTAGAGCGAGGCGGCACCCTGGCCGGCCCCGGCGTCGCCGTCGTCCTCCTCCGGGCCCGAGGCGGGTGCCGGCTGCAGGGAGCCGGGCAGCTTGACGGGGCAGAACGCCGAGCCTGTCGGGATGAAGTTGACCTTGTTTTTGTCAGGGCAGGAGAAGAGGGGGGCCGCTGCTGCCGCCGCCGGCTGCCGGGAGCTGCAGGGGAACAAGCACAGTGACTGAAGGGGAGCATTCATGAGGCTGATGAATACGGCCGTGAATCGCTCTGCACCTCATCTCCTCGAAGGCTTTGATCTTCTCACAGCCTTCCGGCGGCTCGCGCTTGAACATGTAGCTGTTGTTTGGTTTAGGTGAGGAGGCAAACTTTGGGAGAGGAGAGCTGCTGCCACTGTCTGAACACACACACACACACACACACACACACACACACACACCCACACACACACCCACACACACACACACACACACACACACACACACACACACACACACACACACACACACCCACACACACACCCACACACACACACACACACACACCCACACACACACCCACACACCCACACACGTCAAGGGTTGGAAAGTTCAGAGAAGATTTAAAAGGTTCCACATCCAGATTCCAAGATTTACTATGAACTTAACTTAGACACATGTACAGTTAATACCATTTAAATTCAAATCCTATTCCATTTATATATGTTTATGAATATGTGTTTACTTGTTTACTTTAGATATGTATTTAGAAAATATATACATATATATTTCATTCCATATAAAATATTGAACAAAAACTGTAATTAACTAAGAAAGAAAGCAGTGGATGACTGGGTCAGTTCTAGAACGGATGTTTCTGTGTTGAAACATGTTAAAAGTTGTTTGACTCGGTAATTATATTTTCTAGGAAGATATTGTTGACAATAATTAAGCACACACACACACACACACACCCCCCCCCCCCCCACACACACACACACACACACACACACACAAAAGTCTTTAAAAAGCAAATACAAAAATATCAGATTGAAAAAAAAAATTCTTTTTTTGCAGTAGTAATCAGTTAACTTATCTTAAAACAAGATATTTATTGCTGGTCGACCCAAAACATAAGCAAACTAATTGCTGACATTTTAACACTAACTCTAGAAATTTTATTGTTAATTTGCTCTTAAGTTTGAGGTCATGGTTCAGTCGTGAGCAAGCATGTGTCAGAAGTCAACACCACACATGATTCATTGCCTACAAATATTTGCACAGTCACATCAGCCTCACTGTGTCTTCATTGTAATCCTCTAAAAGCGTGATAACATGATAAATAATATTAGCAGATTAGCTTGTATTTTTGACACCTACCTCTGCACAGTACTCTGAAAATGAGCCTCAGTGAGTTCATATAAATACTGGTAGAGGTGAACCTGCTCTGCAAGCACGTCTTCCAAATGTTGCAGCTTGAGTTAAAGAAAAGGCCGAGGTAAAGTACAGAAAAACCACAAAGCACGAGGCAGCGCTCAGCGGCATGTGCAGACCTGATTTTTACTAGCTGGCATTTTTGATCAATAAAGTCTAACTATTTTAGCTGAACCAAATCAGGCTCCATAGTCTAACTGTAATTGTTCAACACGTATTGGAAAATATGAAAATGCATAGAAGTGAGAATGAAATCTGACCCTGTTTGGTTCTGATTCAGTGGTACCTGAAGGCTTCACGTCAGGCCTGGGTTTGAACTGAGACATTCATGTTTTTAATGGTGCTGTTCCTGACCTTTATCCCGGTCATACAGCAGATCCTCTGTGGAGTAAGGACTGCCATCATGCGACCCAGGAGGACAGGCCGGTGAGGGACAAGGAGACAGGCTGGAGCAGCTGCTGGACCGCCCAGGAGCTGAAGGAGTCTGGGTGTCCACGCTGCGAGAACTGCTGCTCCGCTGCTGGGGAGGGAAGGGTGCCCGACGCCCGTCCGGAACCTCCAGAGACTGCAAAGCGGCAGAGGATGGAAACAGAAGGTGAATGAGGTCTGAGACACAACGATCTGGCAGAGACACAGGACAGAAGCAACTCAACGGGGACCAACCTTGAGCTCGTCCTTCTCTCCGTTGTCTTTGATGAAGACTTTCTCCAGCTCATGGTTGATGCCCTCCATGCTGCTGGGCACCCTGGAGATGGAGGGCTTTGGCACCGTGATGTTGGACAGCGGCATCTGTGCCGACTTCGACATGGAAAACTGCTGCAGCAAACACACACACACACACACACACACACACACACACACACACACACACACACACACACACACACACACACACACACACACACACACACACGTGTCGTTCCTTTGATATTTTAAGTAAGACTCCTGGTATTGTTGAGTAAATGCATTCTCTCTCTCTCTCTCTCTCTCTCTCTCTCTCTCTCTCTCTCTCTATATATATATATATATATATATATATATATATATATATATATATATATATATATATATATATATATAGACCACAATTGAAACATCATGATATCTGATTAATGGTTTGAGCCCTACGCAGCACAATAAACAAAGTGAATGAAGTGAAGGTCCAGGTGTTGGTGCAGGTACCTGAATGTCGCTGGCTGCTGTGCAGGTGTGGCTCTTACAGCTGGACAGGAAGGAAGCTGTTCTTCCACTGAGGGAGGAAGGCTGCTCTTCTTCCTCTGGATCACCTTCCTGTCTCCTGGGTTCCAGCTGCTGATCCTGTAAGCAGAACAAATAGAAATCAGATGTTTGGACAAATTGATGGTCTAGCAGAACTCACTTGACAGGCCCACCTGCTGATGGACTACTACACTGAATGATTTGTAACAAACAACATAATGCATTTACAGAAGTTTGGTTTGGAATCTTTGGCATATGCAGTGTAAATTAACATACACTTACAACATGTAGAACCTTTTGTCTCTGACATTGAATCAGACTAAACCTTTTCTACTTTATTGATCTCAAAGAGAAATAAATGTAGTTTTAACTCGAATCAATTCAAATTCCTCAAAGAGTTATAGTAGGTAGTGATGGCTGTTGGTAGATCTACTGTAGCAGTCTGTATTACAGTGAATTTGGAGAAGCTTCTGACTGAAGAGGATGCTCTTTATTTATTTATAATGTTCTTTATTTTATGAAGAATCATTTTCTGCATCATCATATCCAGAGGTTCCAAAGTCATCCTCATAACAGAACCAGAACAGAACCGGCTTTCTTTATCAGGCTGATGAGCCGTTTTAGATCCATGGTTCTGATGTTGCTGCCCCAACAGATGATGGCAGAAAAGATGAAACTCTCAACAGACTGATAGAAGATGTACAACATCTTGCTGCAAACCTTGAAGGATTTTAGCTTCCTTAAGAAGTCCAGTCTGCTCTGCTCTTTCTTATAGATGCTTCACTATTACTCAGGTACTTGGGGAACAAAAACCAAACCTTATGGACCAGTGTTCATTATACTGAGTAAAACTAAGACAAAAATATTTTGTAAGCATTTTTTAGATATAGAAACATCACCAAATCTAAGTAAACATTCATTAAATGAAAAGAGCTATGATAAATATTTTTGAAAAAAAAACATGATGAAATTATTAGAATCCATCTCTCTGTGTATACCATATATCCATGGCAGTGGGCAGCAAGGCCCACTGCTTGTCCTGCTGAAACAACAGCAGGCTTTTCAAAGAGCCAGTCTATCCTCACCACCCATCCTGCTGTCAGATGATGCCAAACCAGATCAACACCATGAGCATCCACAACACACATGGAGCAGCTGGAACCGACAAACCGGTCAAAAACACACAGCAGCCCAGCAGACAGTTCTGAGATCAGATTGGGAACGTACAGGGGACTGATCCTAAAATGGGCCCAAGTTTAATGAACTCATTTATTCTTTTATTTCATTTTCCTTAGGGATCAATGAGGTATTTTTGAATTAAATACAATTTAATTCAATACTACTACTACTTCTACATCGTCATCGCGTTTGATTATTCTAAATTCACGTGTGGTATGTTGGAGGTTTTACTGGATTTTCCTCTGGAATCGGGACGTTCGGGAGTGGAATCGGTTCGGGAGTGGAATCGGTTCGGGAGTGGAATCGGTCAGGAGTGGAATCGGTTCGGGAGTGGAATCGGTTCGGGAGTGGAATCGGTTCGGGAGTGGAATCGGTTCAGGAGTGGAATCGGTTCGGGAGTGGAATCGGTTCTTGTGGGGTGCGTTGCTCCTGCCGTGTGTCTGGACACACGAACCGATCGATCCTGTTGGACTTTTATCGGCTCGTGTCGCGTGAGGTCACAGAGGTTTGGAAACCGGCCAATAATCCTTAAACCAGAATTAAGACTCATGAGCTCCACTTCTCTCATCTCATCTCATCTCATCTCATCTCATCTCATCTCGACCACTGCTCTAACACTCTGACTCTGGTAGCTATGGTAACGTTTACATAGCCCTTCAAAATGAGATGCAGATGGGCAACAAAAATGAACATTTTACTTTGGTGAAAATTTGAACTCACGATAAAGACTAATGGGAGCCTGGAGCTTGTTTCTCTGCAACGAGACGGTCCCATCTGGGAGTGATGAGAGACAATGACAGCCGAAGTGTTGCTAATGCACAGGGAGCTACTGTAACATAGATCATGTTGTATAGAATTCCACTTGTCATTACTTCCAAGTTTGGGTTCTTGTGTAATGGCTGAAACAGCACCCCCTCCTGGTGGCTGGCAGTGTTAAATGGCCATATTTAACACTGTAATACAGTGAGTGTATAGTGAACACAGACATCTCGTTGGCAGTTGATGAGAGATGGCCACGAGGCAGACTCACTGAGTTGAATGTTCTGTTAGCTTGATGCTAACATGAAATACTGCTCCTCATAAGGTCCTGCACCCCCCCCCGTGATGAACCTGGTTCCTGATTAGTTCTGTTTTCATACAGATAAACCATCTTTCATCTCATCCTGTCTCCTGGCAGAACTGATTCTGAACGATCACAACTGAAAAAGGTTCCACTACTTGGTCTCTACGTGGCGATGCGGTTTGAAGCTTCATTGCCTCATTAACATCCGGTCACCACATCATGCAGAGCAGCTTGGAATGTGGGAATCACCTACCGGGATGAATCCATTCTCCTGTCTCTTCTCTGGTCCTTTTCTGTCGCAAAGAAACTTTCCAAAGAATCTGATATATTTCTTACTCAGTTTGCTGCTTGTGGCTCAATGCTGGCGCGCGGACGTAACCGAGAGAATCCGGTTCAAAGACTTTCAAAATGAAAGATCCTCCAGACTCAAATAATACATAAAACGGAAACATTTCACTATCTCTTGTGCGGCCCGGTACCAATAACCCGCTGCTCTAGAGGCCAGTTTTCATCCCAGCTGTCGCAGGAACTCCCACAGAACATCTGAACCAGGCAACGTGTTCAGACCTGTCCTCCTCCATCAAACCTGACACTGACCCTCTTCTCTCCAGAAACGGAACACATGCAGAATTTATCAATAAAGGCAGAGTGTGTAGCAGTTGTAAGATGATCTGTGGATATGGCCCACAGAACCAGTTCCACTGCCTGCACTGCACCCACTGCTGCTACTCACGTTTCAGATTACTGGCTCAGATTGAAGATAGATCTGTCCCTTCACTTTCTGTCAGATCCTTGACGTTTCAACCCAGGAACACATTTTAATGGACAGCAATAAATGGGGGAAATAACAGCTTAACAGAATGGGTAGTACCACTGACTGGTGTAATGACTGCTGAGACTAAAGCCTACTGATTGAGCAGGAAAAAGAACCAAAAATCTACCTGACTCTTCAACCGGATCAGTTTCATAGCTTTCCCAGAGATCTGACAAAGAGAATCCAACTTTAGATGATTTGGTCCCAAATATACCACAAAACGTTCACAAACGTTGCACCACTCTGCACAAGAAATATATTTTTTAAGCCCTTCATTCTAAATAAGTCACATTACCTAAAATTTTAGAGGAAAACATCAAGTCAATATTTTTTTGTGAAAACAAAAGGTTTGGAATTTGATTAGATGTATTGCTAGAAAACACAATCAGTACAATATAGGAACAGCTGAAAGCAGACGTTAATATACAGGGAATAAAAAGGCATCCATCTTTTTTTCTCAAGGAGTTAAATCTGAGAAAACTGCGAGGTTGTCGTGGTCTGTCACGGAGGCAGCGCTTGAACCTGTTGGTGGAGGCCTTCTGTGAGGGATGCTGTCAGGTGTCCAAAGTATGGCCGGGCCCATACAATTTGTGTTCGGCCCTCCTATAGCAGTTCAAGTATGGTTAAAATGTTGCCCTCCAGGAAATGGAGCTGATATAGATGGACACATTTTGTAATGTGTTAGGATTACATTTTGTATCTTCTTGTATGGAAAATGTTATCAACACAGCTAACGCTACATTCACACGGCAGGCAAATGCCACCCAAATCTAGTCTGAATGACCCGATTCCAATTTTTACATCAAAATTTCCAATTTTTGTCATTTTCATTTCCTGAGCTTCATCAGACATACGGTATATCCAATTGTTTTCAAATTTCAAAGTGTCTGCAGTCTACACGGTCATGTCACATTTTATCCGATTTTATGAAAACGGTTCACACAAATGTCTGATTGTGGTCGCATGGTTCAGGCATATGAATCGAATTCCAGTAAAAAAGCTGAATTAAGCATCAAGACCTGCTGTGTGAATGTAGCCTACGTATTTCTCTTTTATTAGTCATGCTTACCAAGTAAACCACCTGCTATGGTATCAAATGTTCAGCTAATGACACTGCTAACTTTCTGTTATCTAACCTTTTCTGCCCTGTATCTCCTGCTCCACATCAGTAAACCACTGTGGCAGCTCTGCTCCTCCCTGCAGGTCTCTAACGCCATAACATGCATGTCCACACATGGACTGAGCTGCCATCTGGCACAGTCGCATTGTTTCCTTTGCTGCAGGAGGCAAAGAAGAGCCAGCTCGGGCACAGCTTGCCATAAACTGCAGCTGCTCAGGCCATTGAAAGGAGGGGAAGTGGATGCTCGGGAGTAAGATAGTGTTATCTGCCACTTCTGTGTTGCTACGAGGAATCAGAGTTCTGTAGCCGAGCGAGACTGGTAGGATTGGGCTGAGTGCAGAGCCATATGCCATCACAAGTTCAATCTTTCTACAAAGAAACAATTGCAACAGCATTATTTCTGTAAGGAAGCTCTTTCATATCACGATTTGTTGAGGAATAATATGTCCACTGCTGTATTTCAGATGCTATTTAAGTAGTTGGTCATATTTGTCTCTATCTGCTCCCTCAGCATTTTAAAAGTAACTGAAAACATCGACTTATAATTCATGATGTGTTTTACCCTACAACCTGTACTACTGGACCTGCTGGGTGGGTTGTAGTTCTGGAATATCTGAAGGAATCAAACTATGAATTAACACATGTGGAAATACAATATGTACTAAACAAAAAAGTGTAAAACAACTGAAAATACGCCTTATATTGTAGTTTCTTCAAAGTAGAAACCTTTTGCTGTGATCACTGCTCTGCACACACTCTGCGTCATCACCTGAAATGGTTTTTACTTCACAGGTGTGACCTGTTAGGTTAATAAGTGGATTTCTTACCTTATAAATAGTCATGAAAAGAAAGGAAACACATTGAATGAGAAGGTTGTGTGAAAACTTCTGGTCACACACGCACGCACGCATGCGCGCACGCACACACACACACACACACACACACACACACACACACACACACACATCCATCCATTTTCTAACACCCTATCCCTTGTGGGGTTTGCAGGGGTGCTGATGTCCATCTCCAGCTAATGTTCCGGGAGAATGCATTCTATTCATTAATGCAGATATATATGTTATGTGTTTTTAGTCTATTTATTCACTTGTGAAGGGAACTGGGTGGTTAATGGAAAATTAATCAGCAAAGACATTTCTTCAGCTCAATGTATTCCCCACACTCCTTTTGGGAACATCAACATAATAAGAAATATGTCATCTCTGCTTTTAGAAATTGTCTACATTTATATCGTCACTGCAACACCCAGGAGAACATATGGCTGAATGTGGGCTCTGCTCACCTGTGTAAGTGTCTCTTTCAAACAACAGGAGCGATGCTCATTGGTGTGATGAAGCTGGCAGCCTGGGAGGAGAGTCCCATCAACACTGATCTGAGGAGAAGACCACCAGCTCCACACCAGCTGCTATGTTCTTCCTTTCACTGCAACAGTAAGAAAGCAGCAGCAGAGCAGAATTAGCCTGATCGAAGGTCTTGCACTAAATGTAGCGAAACAAGCCGAGCGAAATGATCCAAAATGCCAACATGCAGTGACTGGCTGCTGCCAGGAAGACACAGGAAGATGCAATTTTATATTTTGTAGATTTGTTCTAAGAAGTGTTTTTCCAGAAGCTTTATTCTCTGCTGTTTGGTAAGACTTCAACCAAGAGACCAGGGCCAATCAGTGAGCCTATTCATAGTCAAGTGCATGAACGCCTGTTTTTTTCTTAAAGAGAGCCACACTCTTTTTCTCTCTTTTCACAAATTAACTTCAACACACATGTAAACAAGAAAATGTAGATACAAAACAGTGAGACAAAACTACCATGAAGAAAAACAATAACATTACACTTCTCCCAAAAAGAGTTTTGCAATCCTTTCCAGAGACTCTTACTCATATTTGTCTTACAGGCTTCTAAATGTATAAAATTATTCAATCCAACAGTCCTAACAGTTAGGACTGTTGGATAGCAGCAAGAAGGTTCTGGGTTGGAATCCCAGCTAGGGATCTTTCTGCCTGGAGTTTCCATATTCTCCCAGAATGCATTGGTTCTCACCAATTAATCCAGCTTTTTCCCACAGTAGAAAACATGAATGTTAGGTTCATTTGTCTCTGAGTGAGTGAGTGGCTGTTGTCCTGTGTGTCTCTGTTTCTCCCTGTGGTGGAGTCTCAACATGTCCAGTTTGAATCCCGCCTCTGATCGCTGCAGATAGCACCAGCCATACAAGCTCAAGCAAAGTAGACCTGGCTGCAGAAACCAGCCATCAACGGGGTGCGCTTAGCGTCAGATCTGTACCACATTTGGAAATAGCACCATTGTACTCTGGAACTAAAGTGGTCGCTATATTCTCTTTGGCCCTAGTGTCATGAGTTCTTCTTTTCTTTTGAAAAAAGTGATGGCGTGAAGAGGTTTTTCAAAGGGTTTGTTTTTATTACCACAATGCAGTGTGAAGCTGAAAATGTAACAAACATTGTAACTTTGGACCCCAATTGAACAGAGACTGCAGGACTACAAGGTGTGAAAACAAGATGTTGTTATGCCACCTAATGGCCACAGACCAGAACACGACTGGAACTCTGGTAAACTGGAAGTATTTTGCATCTTTCTTCTGATTCTTCTGGTTCTCAATCGCTGCCCAATGGGCCTGTAGAAAGAAAACAGACTGGAGCGTTTCAAAGTTGTGTTATACTTTGAATGTCTGTTGCAAGCTGGGGTATTGCAATATATAGTCAAAGTTAACAAACTTATTATCCAGAAGTTTGTTTTTACAGTGAGTGTATGAAAAGCCATAGAGCCACAGGTAGAACTGGTGGAGGATTCTTTCTGGGAATGTTTTTGCTGTGAGGTAACAATCATAACACTTGATCTAACGAATTATGCTGAAAGTTCACTCCACAAAAGCTCTTCTAGTGACCTGTCCACTTCAATCTCTGCCCCGAATAATCATTGCACAGACAGTGCTACAGTTGTGACAAATCCATGGGATAACAGGTGAACTCTGGAGACTCAATTAGAGTTGGGTTGTGATCTTCTGTTAATATGATCAACAAGGTAGTAAGGACTTGTATCCCGTGATGATCATGTCTTTTCCATTTCTGTTCATTTGCTCCTCCCTGGAAACATTGAGGAGCAGCTGGAGCAGAACACAGCACCTCAGCTTCAAGTTATGTGGTTTTAGTTGAAAAGGCATTTCTGCAGAACTAGGTTTGTCTGGATGACATCTCAAGTCATCTCCCAAGGGCAATCAAAGCCAAAACTCTTAACTATTTTGTGCTTTTGATTTTTGTATAACAACTAGTTCAAAGCTCAGCTCATGAATTCTGAAGCTGATTTAACATAGGGGCCTTATCCACCGAACAGGTTCCAGTGCATGTTGGTGCAGCAGTTCTTTATGTTGGCACCAAGACAAACCCAGAACCAAGACCTCAAAACCAACGTTGTCCCAGCCTCAGTTTTCTGTTGGACCAGAGGAAAGAAACACCTTTGTCAGGAACTCGGGGTGGAGACTATGGAACAATATAGCTGACTCAGTTCTTTAACTCTGTTTGTCTTAGAGTAGGGCAATAAAATAATAACAATAATTGATGGAGAATCACAAAATGTCAATAACAATAAAAGGTGAATTTTAAAATGAAAAAAGACAGACAATAGATGTGGTCTTAGAGGCAGCGTGCAGGTAAAGAATCACAGTGAAATTAGGAAAGTTGAAATTAGGAAAAGAAAGTCAGATTTCCGACTTGTAAAATTGCTGGAATTTCATAACCTCTGACCTCAACATCTAATAAAGTTGATGTGTGCATACCATGTAGTAATAGTTGCTACTGCCAACAGTTGGTATCTAAACAAAGGGCACGCTATAGAGAGTGTTTGCTGCGTCAGTGCATGACTGGATAAAATGCAAAGAAATATCGCATACACACTTTGGCTGCTAACAGTAGTTAGTCTGCTCATGTAGTAAAAGTTAGCACATCCCATTGATTTTCCAAGTGGAATAGAAGGTTAAGTCCGATGTGATGTCATTCTTAGATGCACTTCAAAGGTATAGGAGCAACTGAGGTTTGATGCATGTTAGCATTAAAACAACCTGGTTCTTTCTAAGCAGCAAACAATAAAACCAAAAGAGCGCAGATGCATGTAGCAACATTCACCTCCTGATCAGGAGGACTCTGATGTTTACAGCCCTGCTAAAAATGTGTCAGTCAGGACATATGCAGGATTGCTTTCAAAAGCATCAACAATATGGGCCACTGTGACCTTTATTGTCGTGTATATATACTGTAACTCAGACTTTTCTGTTCTAGATAATGTGTGTACATACTTATTTTCGTAGCCTGGCCTGATTGCGCAGAAGGCTCTGTTTATGTCTCAGGAACCGCTAGGCCAGAATGTGACCACAGGAGCCACAAACCTGTCAGCTGACTACCTGCTATCAAGAATATTTGGGTCTTCTGATGTGTTTCTCAACAGGAAATAATCTTAATGGCACGCAGTAATGACACTGGATCAGATTTTATTGCTTGCTGTGAAAATCTGTCATATTAGCTATGTAGATCTGTAAGGCTTGTTTATGAAGGACAGAAGCTGCATCATCAAGCAAAACTCAACCATAACCAACAATATCTACCTCATCAGTAGCAGCTTATTGTTATACTGTTGTAGTAATAGATAACATGACTTTAATTCGTCCACATCCATTCCGTAAGCCGAGCAGACGGAAAACATCATCTCAAATAAGATGCGCGAAAATAAACATAAAGAGCCAAATGAATAAAACAAGAGTAGGGCGGTTAGGAATAAATACGAGGCGGAGGCTCGGCCTCGATGTTTTTAACGTCAAGCATCAGATCCTGATGTGTTCTGACCTAATTAGACAGCTAGCCAACTAGCCTAGCGCGCGTGAAGCCCTACAGCAGCTACAGGCAGAGGACTTCGGCCGGCCAAATCCAGCTTAAAAATGTACACAATTTGGAGTTGTCAGTCTTTTTAGGAATTGCTAATTGACATTTCAAACGATGATGCTATCTGTATATAATTAGTGAGAGCCAACCTTACAATTCGGCCACAATGTTATCCGTATAACCACAAACATATGCATGAAAATCTAGAATTTTTAGCTGCTTCGCAGTTCAGCTCCATTAGCCCGACGCACCAAAACACAACGTGGCGTTTAGTAGAGAATGGTGAAAGGAGAACCAAAAGTTTTACTTTCTTAGTTAAATAATATCTAACAGCAGGAGATACACGCGACGAATGTTAGCTTATGGTTTACTTAATATTTAATGCGTTGTGTTTTGTTTCATAAACTCAATATTGACTGATTTACATGCCAAAGCCTTCGATTACTTTGTTTTTGAACTAGACTGGCGTAGGAGTCGCTGTGGAAAACAGAATCGTACTTAGCATACCACCGAAGTACCTACACGTTAAATGTATGGTTATAAAATAACATGTTTGAATTGCAATGAACCAAGTTACCTGTGCGGGGACGTGGACAAGTGTAAGGAGCTCGTGTCATCCAGCGGCAAGCTCCAGCCTCCCGTCCGAGCCGCTAGCACTTCGGTTGGCGGGACTCGAGCAACGGGATGTAGTCGGTCCAAGGCTTCAGGAAGGAGGAGGGAGCTCGGCAGGTTGGGCTGTGATGATTTCCAAGCACAAGCTGATACGACACCGTAGCACTGTGGAGGTGTGGAGGCTGGAAGGGTTCCACCGTGTGTACCACCTGCTGGGATGAGCTTGTGGATGCTGAGAGGTCCATCCACCTTCAGGTGTTGCAGATGAATTTGAGTGTAAAATAAAGATACAATTACAGGATCCTGTTCAACGATGCACAAAATAACAGTTTAATCTTTAGGTTCTCCTACAGGTGCCATTAACAGTTTAAACCTAAATTAGATATTTTAAAGGATGAATTTGAGCAATTCTTGTTCATGTTGGTGTGAATATGATCTCAACCTCCATCCATACAATTGAAATGATCACCTGGCCACAGGTTTGACACAAGTTGTTTCATTCGGTATTTCAGTGTCAAAATGTTACATACCATATCAAATATACTACATATATCCTCACTATTTTTGTTAAATGTAAAAACAAAAAATAAAAAACGTTGCACCTCAATCACATTGTTTTTAAGTTCAAGTAAAAATACTGTATTTTTATCCCAAAGGGAAATTAAATGTTCTTGTAACTGACATCTGTGGAAGATGTTGATGAAAAGGATCTCCACTTCCAGTCAGTTCTGCAACAAATCTGAAGAAACCTCTGATTGAAGACACTGTCTCATGACAGTCAAGACATGCTAACAGCTCACTAACTAGGAACAGAGACAATATTCCACAGTAACATGTGCTGGATGGAACCAGCAGTTGTTGGCTGCTCTCCTAATCCACCTTATTTGCTTTTGATAGTTTTCCTTAAATCTCTGGCTGTTCAGTCAGCTGAGCACAGATACACTGGAGTAGAGGGTGTTCTATTGCCAGGTTGCCATCATTATTACTACCATATAGTAGAAATATATTGAAGTAGTGGTATTCTTAACCAAGTATAAGTTTTGGGTATTCTACCTATCCTCTGGATCTGATTAAGGTTCTGTCCTTGTTAAGTAGTTTTATGCTGGTGCTTTGCCATATAAGTGGAATAGAATTTATCAGCCATAGTTTCTGCAAAAACAAACATTATTTTAATACATACTTACAACGTAAATTGATACATGAGAAAGACTTTATTGGGTGGTTTGCATGATAAAGGCACAGGTGGTAGAGGAGTAATTAAAAAAAAACAAAAGCTTGGAAACGATGGCTAAATGTAGAAGATTAACTGCACTAAACACAACAGAGGCTAAGAAAAAAATGTACATTATCATTACATCTACAGTGTTTCCAACTGAGAAACATTGGTATTTTAGCATGTACCTTGAAATGTATGATTAATTCAAGCAAATGTGAATACTCAGATAGAAACCGACAAACAGATCCACCTGGTGCTCACAATGCATTGGAAAAACCACACATTTAAGCAGGTTTTTAGCCATGTCATTTACTCCTGATGGTAAATTAGCCACAACTGCTATTAAAGCCAATAAACAAATTCACCTCATTTTTATGTATTGCACATTTGCTTCCCCTGTTTTCCATTTGTGAATAACATTACAAAGAGGAAGACCAAAAGAGCTTCATAGTGTATCTCTGCTTTAAATGAAATTGCCTAGCAATTTAAAGGATCTAAAAAAAATAGTTTAAGCAGAAGAACCTTGAAGTTAAAAGCGCTGAGATGTGAGGCAGGATCAAATCATGATATTGTTCCACAGTTCCATTGTGGGACTCCATGCCATCCTGCCGTGAATCGCAGCTTATGCAGGGCTAAAACACATGCCTCCTACATAAAATCTGAACTAATGGCATGTGTATGTGACTCGCCTCAATTAAAAATAGGTAGGCCATAAAAATACTCTAGAAAAATACACAGACAAACTTGCAAGTGGCTCTACATTATGGAAAATTATGGAATAGAAGAAAAAAATGTTGACTGAGAGCTATAAAAAGGGATGAAGACAGTAATTAATGGAAAACAAACCTTCATTTTTCTGTTTGTCACTGTTAATGTAAGGTTTTTGTTACCAGGACTTTTACTCATTTTTTCAATATATAACCATTTATACATTTGTTTTGTGTCACTTTATTATCTGTTACCTAGGTAAATGAATCTATTTAAAAATACATTTTGAAACATCAATAATAGTGATTATTTTGAAGTGAATCTAACTGCAGCTAAGCTCTGATATCGTTTTGCTGATCTTCCTACCACAGTTCAAAGATGTGGACAAAAGGCTGATCCTGAGCCGTTTGTCTGTTTGCAGCATTTCAAAGTCATAGATGTAGAAGGTATCGTAAGATTAGTAAAGCTTTCACATCAATATTATTCATCCGATTCTTAAAAATTGACCTACATACAAACACAACCTTGAACTCATTTCTTGTAAAATTTCCTTTAACTTGTCCTGACAAGGAAGATTAAATGGGACTTTTTCTGGAACAAATGACCGACAGCAGCACTGATATATGCTGTACAAAGTGTCAGTGATGTGTCTTAACAATAGGACCAGATGATAAATTATTCTTCACTGAGCTACCAGGTAACTTAACTTTAGAAGGAAACTGGGCTTTTCTCTTGTAACATGGTGTGGAACCTGAATCAATTATTTTCCATTTTAGATTAAAAAGGAAGAAAAAAAGGAGCCAACTAGAGAATGATAATGCTATACCGTTCTCTGCAGCTGTTTAATCAGTTTCCTTTTACAATTGTAGATTAATTGTGAACTATCAAAATCAGGCAATGGGCCCACTTTTCTAGAGTGGCAGCTCCTAATGATGAACACACTAACTGTTGTGGAGCACAGAATTTTCTAAGGTGAAGTCATACTGGAAACTAGCCAGGTTGTAGTTTACGTCTCTGGACAGCAGGACATCTGGGACCACGCTGGACCCGGCCTGCATGGCCAGGACATGAGGAGCTAATGTGAAGGGGACGTCTCCGAGAAGATCCGGCAGAGCTGAAGTGACTTCCACAGACTGAAGGCCGCCTGCTGGTCCCACATCAAGCAAAGCATCAGCTGTTTGAGGCGTAGCTGGATGGGGTAACTGTGAGGTAAAACGGGCTTGTTTACTTTTCTATTCACATCCAATGTACAGAAAAGTCAGCCAGACATTGAATGATCCAAAAACTGTATTTGCACCCCAGTTTGGTGCAAATACAGTTAACACAACAAAAATCAGACAAAAAAGATTGTTAGATGAAGATAAATTCATTATTTTATAACAGTCCTTTATAAAGGGTTGACATAGATTTCAATGCTATCTACAGCATGATAACTACAGAGATTATCATGATGCAGCCTGCACATCTTCACATCTGCTCACAGATCCAGAGCATCAGCAGACCGGCTCAGAAAAGTTATTTTATGATTCAGTTAACCTAGAAAAACCCAGTTACTCCTTCCACCACACAACTGACAGCGTACACAGAGCCGGAGATAGACAGGTGGCAGAACCACAGAACGAGATCAGCTGTGCAAGTGGAACAAAGGAATCATCTCCATCACAAATGAAGACGTCATGGTCCCTCAAACGACTGCTGTGAAAATTACAAAGTTACCATAACAGTGACAAACTGACCAAAATGACTTTAGTGTAACTGTAAAACTGAGGTGCAAACCTGGCCCAAGTCTCAGAGGAACAACTGAACAGAAGCACAAACCTCCACAAGCTCACCTTTGATGGCTGGACTATGACATTTGTTGAGGGCTGTCCACTGTTTACAGTCTTAACCCTCTGCCTTTGTTCATCAGTCGTCTCTCCTGCAGAGCAAAGATAAGATACAGAAAAAACACTGGAATAAATGAATTTCCATTATGTAAGGTCTCATATGTTTTCCTGATTGCGCTCCTCTTTTGGAGAGAAGAACGGCAAAGGAAGAAAAAAAGACTAATCGAAGCAAAAGAAAAACCTGGAACATTCTGGCTGTTTGATAAAACACTCGTCTGACTTACAGCCATTACATGCTCAAGTTTCCCAGTGAAACTAACTGAAAATGTTTTAATGGGTGAATTTCAGTTTTGGCCCAATCCAACCGACCTTTGGCCTTTCATTATGATACCGAGAACAATGTGAATTCAGAGAACAACTCATTTTTAAGTTGCTGTTACATTGTAGCACCAGATCAGAGAAGAATATTGCAACTGATTCTCCTCAGTTCTTACATTCAAAATGTTCAAATTTATTACATGACCAAATTTATTACAATGTGATGTTTCTTAGGTGGTGACTCTATTCTTGGCCAGGCAGTGAATTCATGAGACATGAATAAAAATCGTCTGCAATATGATGTGCTCTGTCTATTTTTAGGTTGAGCAGAGTGCTGGACCTTTCCATTCCAGGTAGTGTGACACGGCACTGGGTGAGCCAGAAGAGAGCCTTCCTCAGAGGTTTAACAAGAACAAAAAGGTGTTACATCAACAACAGTCTAAGAGCTAAGATGGATCATTAACAGTTCAAAGTACTCATACATGACTAAAACCCACAAAGGAAAATTGATGGAGTTTTTATTTTTAACTACCTCCTTAGAAAACACCTGAGACCAGCGGGACATACCAGTGACCTAGTTGGCTAACATTCTCATTTTCCTAGTAGCCCTGATCTTCATATATACCAGTACATTTCAAAAAATAATAATGTTGCTAAAAAAGTCTTGACATCTATCTAGATGTCAAGAAATACTGTACACAGTACTCTGTGTACTGGGAATCTTTATAAAGATTTGTCACACAGAGTAAAATTTTTCCAAATTCATTATGTCAAAACAACAGAATATCAAAAACCGATGTTTTAAACACAAAAGTCAGGCTTTTGAAAATGATATGTACTTCTTCTCTATGGTCGGGTTCCTCTCCCACGTATTTTTGCTTTAAGCTACAATAAATTCTCTAGTTGCTTTTAATGATGAGAAAATATTGTGCAGCAATAAACATGACCCTTAGATGAAGTAAAAGAGTCTGGTCGTGGAACTCATAATATAATCACTGCAAGACAGAGCATTCGTGAGGGGCTGTTGCTGGACGTTTTCAGTCAATGTTTCATAAAAAATATTACATATTTGGTAAAAGTCAACTTTAAACAGACTTTAATGTGAACTCGAGGGAGAAAACTCATCCTGAAATTTGAGATTACAAAATGCTCCCGTCTTGCTCCCTTTCTAGAGTTTATCTGTCCTATGAAATATGTTTTGACACACGGACTGTAAGGTCGTCAGATCTAAACTTTTGTTGTAATTTTATCCTGTATGAATAAGCCGAACAGAACTTCTATAATAAATACAATACCGATTGTGAGCGACCAAAAACCCTGCCTGGATTCTGTCATAGTAGCTGCTGTCAGCCAAACTCAACATTCTTACCAACAATGACGAAGCCTCCGTCCGCTTCCTTGTCAGATGTTGACTTCTTGGCGTCCTTCCGTAGTCCCAAAAACTGAAGCATGGTTTCCTCTCATCGACAAAAAATAAAAGAATTCCGTTTTAAACGCGACATCAACCGAAGTCAGCTTTACACAGTTATTGTAAAGGCTTAACTTCTCCCGGTCGTTTTAATGTTTTTGTAATGTCGCCCTTACTGAAGTGGACAGAGCGCTGACAGTCAATTCATCATGGCTCCTCTGAACGCTAGCTTCTTTAAGAGCTCTAATATTGTTCTTCCTTCACGTGAAGCTACAGACTCTACAGATCAAATTAGCTTCCGTTAGCACTTTTTGCAATAACCTCCGTGACGTGTTATTTTGCTTCTATGGCTAACTTCTACCTGTTCCGTTTTCTCGAAGGAAACTAATTACACCTGTAGTTCTGTTACAAATGAATCTGCACCACACATTCAGCGGAACTGTTTATTGCTTCTAGGGATTCAGATCCTGGAACACAACGGATGTGTCGTAAAAGTGGTTGGAGGCGCTCGTTTTTGTCAACATGTAGACGTTTACTACGAGCCTCTTCAAGCACTCAATGCTGAATGTAGACGCACCGCCCGCGCGGGCTAACGTATATAAAATACAAACAACGCGAAGCTTCCCGCGACTTCTTCTCTCATCTGCTCTTTGAGCAACGTCGCAGCAGCAACCCGCGAAAATGGCCGGCATACTGGAAGTCCCAAAACCGAGAATAAACTGCTCCATGCTTTCGCAGTTCATCAACCGAGCCGTCTGCTTCGTCGGGCGTGTTGAAAAGGTCAGAGTGGTGTGCAAGACAATGAGTGAAAGTGGAGTTTCACACATTTCGAGATGTAGGTAACATTCATGCATTTTAATGTCTAACACCGAGGCTGCGTTCTGCTTTAGGTTCACCCTACTGGGAAAATGTTCACTGTGATGGATGGAGAGGGAAAGACTGCAACAGTGGAACTAAACGATCCTGTAAGTTCACCTCAAACACTCGTGCTGCTTAAATGCAGGGGCCATAATGGAAACTGAAGTGACAGATTTTAAATACATTGTTAAGTATTGTCATTTCACTGCTTCTTACTTATTTTAGTTTAACCCTGTCATAAAATATGGAGAATGAACAATCTAGCAGTTGGTGTTTATGATGTATGGGGTTTTTATTTTTCTCATGTTCTTTGTCTCTTCATTACTGTTGTGGCATATCTAATATGCTGCTCGAAGCAGATTTGCTTTGTCTTGTAAATATTTCAGTAAAGTCGAATGTGTAATAAAAGGGATAGCTTGTTTTCCCCCTAATCTAGAGTAAATCTTATCCATACAACCAGACATAGTAGCGCAAGGCTCAAACAAAACAAAACAAAATGCATTTTTGAGAAAGACCATTCAGATTCTTAGTCAGAAGTCTGTTTGAGGCTTTGCTGGTGTTCTGCAGGAAAAGCAGTAAATTCTATTATTGCATCACCTTGATTGGATAAAACTAGTGCTTCTCAATGCCACCAGAGAAAAATGTTTCTTTCCCTGATGTGCTTTACCTCTGCAGGGTTACCACTGCTGACAAGTAATGATTTCAAGTGACATTCTATGTATGGAAATAATTTGACTCTAATAAAAAAACTAACATCTATCAGCAGGCAGCCCCTCAGGGTTACACTGGGTAGATCAGGGGTTGCAATCTCTCACTTTTTTAAGAATCGGTATTGATTTAAATCAAGAATCAATTCCAGAATAGATAGAAATATTTTGTGAATATTTAATCCCTTATTACTGACACTTATTATAAAAGCCTAAATATTCATCCAATACCTAATGGTTAGGTATATGGATGTCAAATGGTTTGTTTTACAACAAGGTGTAAAATGAATGGTCGAAGAATGTGTTGCACTTTAGTCTTAATATTCATTTCTTTTTCAGCTTGAAGAGGAACTGAGTGGAATTGTGGAGGTTATAGGAATGGTGTCGAACAAAGGAGAAATAATGGCCAGCACATACAACCTGCTGAGAGAGGACAAGGGGATTCCCTTTGGTACGGCCCATCTGACTGAAGAGCACAGCTATACTGCAGCGTGTCTGAGCAATACTTACTAATGAGCCAATGTTTCTGTCTGACAGATTTAGAGCTGTACAACGAAGCACTGAAGGTCATTCATGACTTCCCCCAGCACTACCCTTTCCAGGTGGCTGCAAGTGGATGAAGAAGAGTGTATGAGAAAATCATTTTTCTATTTTGTCTTTTGTGTTGGAAGATTATGATTGTACAAAACCTTCTGCAGTAAAATGTATACAAATACAACAAATGGTGACAGTTTGGATTATTTGTGAAGTACCTAACCTATGTAGAGTGTGTTTACCACTTGGGCGTTTTCACATTTTGTTCTGTCAAACGATGCGTTTGATGTGATGGTGGAGCATAATGTGCTGTGTCAGTATGAAAATGAAGTAGAACATTAATTTTATCCAAAGTAGTCTAAAAGTGGTATGACTTAGTATTTAAGTCCTTGAATATGACTTTTATTAGAAAACAAATGGCATCATGGAAACCCAGCATTCAGGTCAGGTGGTCAAGTGGTGGAGAAGTTTAAAGATGTTCTAGAACAACATCTCTGAGCTCTGATCAGTTCATTATCTGTACATAAAGATAGCATGGACCACCTGCAGACCCAGAACTGCTCTCACCAGCACAGATCTGCTGGTGAGAAAATGTCTACAGGATGTATCACAACAAATTGATGCTAATTTTATCATGAACTGGAAAGTCTGTTTTAAATGCATCTCCATCATATGCTCAGTAAGGACAGACATACTGTATAATGGTTAGGATGAAACTTAACTATTTTAATATAGAAATATAATAATAGCAATGATATTTTCTATTATTTGTATAATTGCAAAATATGTGAATTATATTTTGGAATATTACTTTGTATTATTGCATCATCATTAGGCCTGTCACACTGTAACATTTTGCCAGATAAACAATGATGTTGTTTTGAGACCATTTTCAAAGAATATAGTGGTATAAAATGCAAGTGCATCCTCTCAAAGATCAATAAGTTTATTTTTTAAGGTTTTGTTAGATCGAGTGGCCGTTATTTGAAAATAGTCTTGACAGGAAAGAGTGAAGTGAGAGAAGGGGAAGAGGTAAATGTCGCCGGGCCGGTAATCAAACCTGCGATGACTAAAGCCTCCATATGTGGACTGTGCTTTGACCCTGTACCACCACAGCACCCCGATAAGTTTCATTTTTAATCAACATTAACACTGGAAGGGAAAGACATTTTAAACATCCAAAATAAATGAAACAAATAAAATAGGCACGAAAGTCTGTAAACAAAACTGCCTTCAGAAGGTGAAGTGTCTTGCCCCAAGGATGGAGTATGGGTCAAACTGGCAACCCTCCAATTGCTGGACAAACTTGTACCACCATCGCTAAGAGAAGAACAGAACACTTCATCGGAGCTTCCTGACTTGATGGGGATTATATTTGAAAATGGAAACAAGGAAATGGAGGGAAATCACTTCACAGAAGAGCCTCTCCATTATTTGGAACACAGAAATGTGAAGCTCAAGCCTGAAGATTGACCTTCAAGTTCAGCCAGCTGGGGTCACTGTTCGCTTTATCTGGTCCAGTGTACAGCAAGTATTATGCTGCATTAAAATGTTCCATGTATGCTTTTAAAATGATGCACTGTCAGAACAACAACATACAAGTTGTTCTGCAAATACATTTCACATAATCACCCATAAAACAGTTATGAAACAGTTAAGAAAGTTGCTGGTTTTTGAAGCTGTTGCTACAAAGCTACAGCGTTAACAAGCAAGCCGTTCCACAGCTTACACACAATCATTTGCAAATGAAGTTATTTCTCTTGAACATTTACACATTGTATGTTTCAACCACAAAATTCTTTGTATTTTATTGGGGGTTTAATCAGTAATTTATCAAGTTAAAGCAGCGCACAACTAAAGAGGAAGGAAACAGATAAATGGAGGAGCATAAATCACAGAAGCAGCCAGGAGGCCCTGGGGAAGAGGTTCTCCTTCCACCAGGTTGACCCCAAACATATAGCCAGAACGGCAATGGAGTGGTTTGACTCAAAGTACATTCTGTCAGAATGGCCCAGTCAAAGTTCAGACTTAAATTCAATTGAAAAAACCTCTGGTTTTCAAACTGGCTATATTCAACCCAAAAAAGGAATTAGACCAGAGATTACTTACTTATACTTATCTGCCAACCCTGAATAGGAGTATCTAGTTTATTTACTTTGGATCAACATTATTAGCTTTTTCTTCTTTTGCTCTCTCTTTTGGTTTGTTATTTTGTTCGTATTTTCTTTTAATTCCTGTAAAGCACTTTGTATTTCCTTGTTGCTGAAAATGTGCGATATAAATAAAATTATGTTTTCCTTTGACCGTAATAACAGGCAATACCTAACCTGACTGATACTGATCTATTATTCAAAGAAAAAAAGAGTATCATTTTTATTGACTGATTGATTCACTCATTGGTTGATTAATTGATTCATTCCTTCATTTTGTGTTGGTCTATCACATTAATGTCCTAAAATACACTCAAACGTTTTTAACCAAAAGAATGAAAAAAGGCTGAAGGTATGAATACTTCTACAAAGCACTGGAAATAAATGAACTGAATATCGATGGATATTTTGCTGCAATTTTCTAAATGTTATTCATTTTATGTTGACAGTTAAATTTATAATGCTGACACAAATCAAGCTGGGAATGACATAAAGCTCTAGCGTTCCCTAACGTATGGCTGTGTGGATGTGTTTTTTGAAAAGTCAGGTGAGAATGTCAACTGCTGTCAAAGCCTTCAGTCTGTCCCTGCTGAGTGTGGTGGACTGGGTGGGAGAGCTGTAGCCTGGAGGAAGGCAGCTGCTGTGTTTCTGCACGTTGAGACATTGCTGTTTATGTTGCTTCATCTGCTCCATCTGCCTCCATTCACAGATGCTATGACCTCCATCTACCATGGTGTGTCATGGAAACATCTCGGCTTTCTGAGCAGTTCTCAGTTCATCTGGATAAAGCAACATTTGGCCAGAAACAACATCAGAGTGGTCCCAGAGTATGAGGGGTGAGTGGAGAGGTATATTATCCAACATGGGCCAGAGAGATGCTTCTACAGCAGGGGTGTCAAACCCCAGTCCTCAAGGGCCGCTGTCCTGCAGTTGTTCGATTGTGTTTTGTGCCACAGGTACAAAACACTGGAATGAAATGGCTTAATTACCTCCTCCTCGTTCTCCAGAGTCTTGCTAATGACCTATTATTCTATTCAGGTGTGGTGCAGCAGAGGCTCATCTAAAAGTTGCAGCACACCGGCCCTCCAGGACTGGATGTTGACACCCCTGTTGTACAGTCAGTGATGCTTTCAGGATTTATGTTGCCGATGGATGGTTCTCCTCTGTACTTTATCAAATCCAAAGTGAGAGCAGCCATCTGCTAGGATATTTTAAAGGCCTTCATGCTT